CTATATAATAGAAAATAGTAAAATTTATTTGGACAGGAACCTAATAAATAATGAAAACAAAAATGTGTTGATGGTGAAAGTGTGGGGTTGTGGTGTTGGTGGTGGTGGAATTGTGGTGATGGTGGTGGTGAGAGTGTGTTGGTAATGGTGGTAGACATGGTGGTGGATCTGGTGGAAGTATGGTGGTCGTATTTTCTAAATTTTGAGAAGGTTATTTCTAAAAACACAAAATAGGTTTAACTTGTTATCTAAATTTATTCAGTTTTGTTCTTAGTTTTCAAAAAAAAAAAAAAATAAATAACTAGACAGGCATTTTTTCCTTGAAATTGTTTTCAAAAACAAAAAACTATTTCTGAGATGTAAATCAAACAGAATCCAAATTTTTTTCGATTTTTCAGAAGTTGGTGATAATAATGGGGTTAGGGTTGGGAAGGAATGATTGTATTTGTGTGCTGAAACAAACTCCTAGTAACGACCTCCATCCCTTAATATAGGCAATGTGTTATCTGCAAGAGAGAACTTCCCCATGTCTATGCATTCATACCAGTGCTTTACACATTGCGTCGAATCACATTGGTGAGTACTTTGTGGATTTTTCACACATTATCTCTAAATTTTTGGAACAAATAGTGCGTGTGTGGATTCATTTTCTCAAATTGTATGTAATAATTTATAGAGAGTTGCAAATTTGGATGATCTAGAGTTTGTTTTTGTTGGTGAGTGTCGCCTTTCACCGATACATGCACATAGGGGATATTTAAAATCTAAAATTTAATTCACTGGTGTGATTCCATAGTTATTTTGCTTTGGAGAAAATGATTTTGCACACGGTAATTCATGCCATTTCTCTCACAGGTAATTATGCTTTGGAATGTTATCATTTTCTACTACGTAACCAACTTTCATATGCCAACGTTCATTGTGACTACTTGAGATATCGTATGCTTAAATTCTAGTTTTTCTTAATAAAAAAATATTGTTATTGGTGCATTCATTCGAGTTCGTCTGTTCTTTTGAAATCATTTTTTGCAATATTAAGGAATGAGTTGTATTCGGAAAATGCCTTGCATTCTTCCAGCTATTGGGTATTCATCATAATAGACAAAACACCAAATTAGATTGGAGGAGTTGCCACGGTAGAGCTCAAATACTAAGAGAAAATTGAACAAGACACTCTTTATTTATCTTGGCTCTTGGCCTTGAATTGGAATGTTGAATACAAAACATTAAAGAGCTATTTATAGTGAATAGAGGTGGCAAATGGGTGGATTGGATTGGTTTGGTTATGGGTTGAGTTAAATTAGATTGAGTTAAAATAAATTAAATCTATTTGTCACTCACGTAATAAATGAATTATAATAGGTTGGATTTATAACGGGTTAGGTTAAACCGATTAACCCATAAAATAATTAAAATTCTTAGTGAACACATTAGTACATCAAAATACACACACACACATTAGTAGTATACCAAAATACAAACATACACACACACACACACACTAATATACCAAAACACACACAAAAACTAATACACTAAAAATATACACTAATACAAAAAAAATATACACACATATACTAACACAAAAATTAAAATATATTTAATAAAAAAAATACACAAATAATGGGTCGGGGGTAATTGTGGGCTATGGGTCAACCCATGTGTCATGGGTTATGGGTCGATCCACGGGTCATGGTTGACCCATGGGTCGTGAATCATGGGTGGTGTATTAGTGTGTGTTCATGGGTTGACCCGTGGGTCATGGGTGGTGTATTAGTGTGTGTTTTTTTGTGTACTAGTGTGTGTATATATTAGTGTATTAGTGTGTATGTGTGTATTTTTTTAGTGTAATAGTGTATATATTTTTTGATATATTAGTATATTTATTTAATTTTATTACTTGTGTTATTTAATAAAAAGATAAATACTCAATTTAGTTAAAACTCATATTAATTAATATAGGTACTTAACTCATTAATTTATAGACGAATTAGATGAATTATAGGTTAAAATTACCACCACTAATTTTAAAGTATAACGTGTGAACTCAATTATTAAAGTAGCTAACACATGCTTTCCACCTAATCACGTTGGAATTCGAACTTTATAAAGTATGTTTAGCCACTAGTTTGTGTCGGCAAGCCTTTTCCCATGTGCTCAAATGCATTATTTTTTGACACCCATGTGTCATCTGCAAGAGAGAACTTTCCCATGCCTATGCATTCATACCAGTGCTTTATACATTGCGTCGCATCACATTGGTGGGTCCTTTGTGGATTTTTCACACATTATCTCTAATTTGTTGGAACAAATCGTGCGTGTGGATTCATTTTCACAAACTGCAAAAACTCATACACAGTCCAATTGTATTTAACAATTTACGGCGAGTTACAAATTTAAATGTTTTAAAGTTTATTTTTGTTGGTGAGTGTCGCTTTTAACCGATACATGCACATAGGGATATTTAAAATCTAAAATTTACTTTACAGGTGTGATTCCATAGTTATTTTGCTTTTGTGAATATGATTTTCCACACGGTAATTCATGCCATTTCTCTCGCAGGTAATCTCTCTCTCTCCCTCTCCCTCTCCCTCTCCCTCTCCCTATGTGTGTGTGTGTGTGTGTGTGTGTGTGTGTGTGTTAGGGTCGATTTTTCAAATTTTACCTCTTCTATGAATAGGTCGCCTTCAAATTGTAAGATGTGTGGTTATGATGAAACACACTTCTGAAAAGATTGTGAGATTACATCTTTTTGTCTCTCTAAAGTCGATCGAATCTGATAATAGTTTGAGTGTTGGTGGTAATGCAATTAGGTCATGTTCTATTAACCATGGCTGGCATTCTGTTAGTTAGAGTTAGAGTTAACTGCAACTACAAAATTCAGTAAGAGAGAGTCGGTGTCTCATTGTATAAATATTGATCTTGTAAACATTTACAAAGTGTGAAATACATTTGATTTCCTTCATCTATTTCTGTTATTTCCCATTTCTTAACATGGTATCAGAGT